GAAAGATAAAGATCTCCACTAAGTGCATGGAACCAATTAATCAAGTGACAAATATGAAGTGTAAAGGAGTGATCTACCTAGTTAGAGTTTGTAAAGAATAGAGGGTGGTCGTTCAAACAATTAAAGAGACATGTGTTTGTAAGAAGCATATGCACTTGGATGATGTTTACAGTGAAAATGAACAGGTATATCAGTCTATGAAGGAAAGAAACAGAGAAGGAGAAGATGATGTTAACAAGGCAGATGAGTCAGCTAAGGTGCTGGGAAAAAGTGATGGCATGGCAACAAAGGACATGAAAAATGGACCACTAAACAGAATGGAGGTAGACAAAGAGATGCAAGGGAAGAGTAAAACAATCATTGTAAAGTCCAGTAGAAGAGTGGGGCAGGAGCTAAGATAAAAGTGCGTGAGCCAAATTACGGCTGTGCAGAATAGTGTCAGACCTGTGATGACCAAAAGTACACACTTGGTTATATGAAAAGCTTAAGTGGGTCTAGCTTGCTTCGACCTGGACTGATTCTAGAAGTGCAGTTGAATCTGTATCAAGGGCTTATTGATTTGGGTGGGCTTCCTGTTTCACAGAATGGGCTTAGTAATCAGGCCCTTAGTTTACAAGATTGGGTTAAGGTAGGGGAATCAGACATTAGTAAGCCAAGTGGGTTGAAAGCCCAAATGAATAACAGCAAGAGTGAAGCGAATATAAAGCTGAAAGAGTAGAAGAAATTGTGCAAAAAGGCCAACTGTCGTAATCAACCTCGAAGAAAGGGATTCTTTGATCTTGTGAGGAGATATGGTCATAAGGGTGCGTCATCAAGAAAACCAACTCCAAAACATGCCCAATTAAGAGCAGCAACTGTAGCAGCCTCATTATCGACATCTATTGAGAAAGGGAATGATGGAGGAAGAAGAATCCTCGATGAAGCTGAAGCAACAGTATAGTTAGGGAAAACATTGGGTCTAGAGTATAATGGATCAGAAGAGAAAGTTCTAAGCAAAATAGTGGAACTAGAAAAGAATGATAAGGAGAAGCTTGGGGGGGGGGGATGGGGCAACTACATAGGTTAATTATGGAGGTGGGGTTTCATTGGAGCTTTATGAAGTTTTTGATAAAGATACTGGTCTGGAATATTAGAGGAATTGAAAGGCAAGAGAATAAGGGAAAGATACATAAGTTAGTGAAGGACATAAATGTTAGTATTGTGTTGATTCAAGAAACAAAAAAAGCTGCTATTACAAAACAAAGAAGTCAAAGAATGTGGGTGAGGAATAGAATGGAGTTCATGTCAATGGATGCTGAAGGTATAGCTGGAGGAATGTTATGCATATGGGACCCTGAGGCATTTCAACTTGTTGCTTGCTGCAGTAGTAGAAGGTTCATACTTTTATCATGTACAATGTTTAATTCTTTTGAGTGTGTTATAATGAATATCTATGCACCCAATGATGTGGATAGTAGGGGAAGCTCGAGATAGTTTGATTAAATTGAAACAGGGTTTCCCTAAACCATGGTGTCTGTGTGGGGATTTCAATGAAATTAGACATATTGGTAAGAAGAAAGGCTGCTCCAGAAGAGAGGGGGGTATGGCTGAGCTCAACGAGTTCATTGAGAATTGTGAAGTACAAGACCTACCTTTATTAGGAAAAAAGTTCACATGGTGTAATTCGAGGGAAGTGTAGAAATGGAGTAGAATATATAGGGTGTTGGTGGATCCAAGATGGATGGATTAAGCTAAAATTATGGGGATTACCTAAGCTCATCTCAGATCACAGTCCACTACTCTTGATGGAAAATGATAGGGACTGGAGAGCCGTTTAGGTTTCTAAATGCATGGTGTTTACATCCAAAATTTTCCTTTTTTATGGTTAAAGCTTGGAAGGAGTCAGAGGTTAATGGTTAGGCTGTGTTCATATTACAGAAAAAACTGAAGGTTTTGAAATTAGCACTTAGGAAATAGAAGAATGAGGTGTATGGGTCTGTTCCTAACAAATTGAAAGCAGTAGAAGAGGAAGTTCATAACCTTGATCTTCAAGCAGAGAATAGAGAGCTGGATCAACATGAGAAAGCTAGAAGAAGAGCAGCTACAGAAGAGGTATGGAGACTTCATAGAATGGTGGAATAGACGTGGTTACAAAAATTAAGATTGAGCTGGAACTTGAAAGGGGATCGAAATACTAGATTTTTCTATGTGATGGCTGAGGGTAGACAATGTAGAAATGAAATCGCATATATCGCCTTTGGTGGTTCAGTGATTGAGGAACCCAGTCAAGTGAAGATAATAGTTTTTGAGCACTTCAAAAAGTAGTATTCTGAGAAATTGGTGTTAAGACCTAAGTTAGGAGGCATATTCAAATCAGTGCAAAGCAGTCTACATTTTGAAGTGTTGAAAACAGAGTTTTTAGAGGTAGAAATCTTGGCAACAGTGAAAGATTGTGAAGGAAACAAGACACCTGGGCCATATGGGTTTAATATGTTATGCTTTAAAAAATTCTAGAAGGTGATGAAAAGGGAAGTGCTCAATTTTATGAAGAAAATTTATAGGAATGGCAGATTAGTGAAGGGATTGAATAGCTCCTTTATTACTCTTATCCCTGCAAAGGAAAATCTTATGGGCATAATAGGCTATAGGCCAATCAATTTAGTTCGATCAGTATATAAGGACCTAACAAAGGTCCTGTCAAGAAGATTAAAAGAAGTGCTACCATGCATCATTAGTGAGACCCAATCAACCTTTATATGGGGGAGGAACATACTAGATGGGATTTTGATTGCCAATGAAGTGGCAGATGGGTGGAAGAAATCCAAGAAGTAGGGTGTGATAATTAAACTTCATTTTGAGAAGGCTTATGATTCAGTCAATTGAGGGTTTCTATACTCAATGCTCTTGAATTTCAGTTTTGGTTTAAGATGTGTTGAATGGATTATGGAGTGTGTTAGCACGGCTAGAATCTCAGTACTTGTAAATGGTTTTGCAACTGAAGAGTTTGGTCCTCAAAAGGGGCCTCCGACAAGGTGACCCACTGTCCCCTTTCCTGTTGAACTTGGTTGCTGAAGGGCTAAATATGTTGCTAACAAAAGCATACCAGATAGGAATTATTAAAGGTGTGAAAATTGGTGCAGATGATGTGATGTTGTCTCGCCTACAATTTGCAGATGATTCTATTCTTTTTTGTGAGGCTGAGGAAGAGGAGGTCAGAAGCTTGAAGAGGATCTTAAGGTGTTTTGAGGTTATGTTTGGCCTGAGGATAAATTATCATAAGAGTCAAGTTTATGGAGTAGGTGTTTCAGATGAATCTCTAGCTAGCTTTGCATCTATTTTGAATTGCAAGATTAAGAAGCTGCCCATTCAATATTTAGGTCTACCCCTTGAGGCTAATCCTAATAGTAAACAAACTTGGAAACCAGTGTTGGACAAAGTTCGTAGCACACTAGCTAGCTGGAAAAGAAAGCTTTTATCTTATGTTGGGAGGCTAACTTTAATAAAATTTGTGACTACACTATTGCCGGTATATTGTTTATCCTTGTTTAAATTACCTCAAACGGTAGCTAAAGTGATTGACAAGTTGCAGGTTTCATTCTTTTAGGGAGGGGGGGGTCTAAAGTAAGGAGAAGGATACACTTGGTCAAATGCGATGATTTGTCAAAAAGTATGGATTGGAAGGGACTGGGGTTGTGAAGAGTAAAGATGGTGAATGATTGTCTACTAATCATATGGTGGTGGAGGTTTGGGTATGAAAAAGATGCATTGTGGAGAAAGGTTATTTGCAGCAAGTATAAGGTGGACTTTAATGATTGGGTGCCCACTTCTTGCACCAGGACTAGGGTTTCTAGTGTCTAGAAAGGTATACTTAATATTGTTGTGTCTGATAGCCTAATTCTATAATTTTACTCAACAATTGGCAGTTAAAGGTTGGAGATGAGAGCAAAGTTAGGTTTTTGTTGGATAAATGGTGTCATGCCACCTGTTTCAAAGAGGAATTTCCTGGCTTATTCTTTTTGTCCTTGGATAAAGAGGTATCACTAAGAGCAATGTATGAGAGAAAGGAAGCTGCAGGGAATTGGATGTTTAATTTTAGAAGAAGGCTATATGATCAGGAAGATTGTGAGGCCACAAGACTTGAAAGTCTCCTAGGTGCTGCACCTCCTTTGGTGGATGATCAGCTTGATAGACCAGTAGGGTCAGCAGTATCAACGGAGGTATTCTCAGTGTCCTCTGTTTATAATGGGGTTTTTGCTACTGCAAGTCCTCCTTTGAGAATTTGTAAACTAGTGTCATAACAACAAAACTGGGTTTTCACGACACTACATCAACGACATACAATAAATACACGCTGTGGTTTCTCACTATTACGACTTGCTTTTTTTGCACATCGTAAATAATTGTCCAACCACGGCGTGTCTATTACGTAGGCCGTAAATGGTAGTAACGATGATTTTTTTATGGCTTGGAATGTTTATTGTAAATAATAAAACTTTCTATGACATGCATATGGCATGCTGTTAATGCATCAACTATACAACGACGCACATACGCTAGTCGTGAAATGTATTGCACTTTTCACCTCGCACACAATACCTGCCGTTAAAAATATTACACTTTTTACAACTCACACAATGTCTGCCGTTAAAAGTATTGTCTTTTTATGACGCACAATGCATGTCGTGAATGTTATGACCGAAAAAAATTGACGCCAAAATGAAAAACTCTGGCGCCAAAACACCAAAAAAATATATTTAAAAAAATAAATATATCAACCCTTTGACTCACTACTACAACAATACTTAAAGATCACATTTAAAGAAATTAAAATATGACACTTTTAATGAAAGTATGATTAAAAAAATCAAATTAACATTTTAATCATATCTAATTTAATTGAGTGTGATAGTATTTATTTTTATGTCACTTCTCAATTAAATATAATTATATCTTTTTTTTTTAATCACACATTTGAATTAATGCGTGCTATATATATATTTAAAATTTTATTTTTATATCTAATATTCCCACATGTGAAGAAACAGGAAGTGCATCGTTCAAAAACCAAATTGACCTAATTTCATTCCTACTTGCCCCAATCCTAGTTCTCTACTCACTCATTCTCTCTCTCGCAATGATGCCACAGATGACAACACCGACGTGGGTAGAACCCCCTTCGGTGTCCAAGTAACCCTCATCTTTTCTCTCTCCCTCTCTCCCTCTCTATAATGGAAGTCAACTGAATTCTTTATTCTTTCAACAATGATTCATCCCACTAAAAACATCACCACTAATAGCACTAATGCATTAAAAAAGTAAAAAAAAAAAAAAAATACAACTCCAACACCAAAACATCACATCATTAATGGCGGGACCCACTGCCACCTAATTAGTGGGAGCACTAATTAGTGCTCCCAAGCATTTTTCGCTCTGTTATTATCATAGCTCTTGGTTGCTAAATTTTTTCTTTTTTCCTTCATCTATATTTGATAGGAACACAGAGGTCAAGGTTTTAGAGCCAGCTTCATCAAACGATGCAATTGCAAAACCAAGAATCATTTTACAGACCACCAGTGAAGTTGATCTTTTGGATGATGGCGAAAGTATGGCTAGAAAGTTGTTAAAGGAAATCCTTATCCAAGGTAATACTTCTACCCAGTTGGGCCTGTTGATTCATTTCCCCCTCTCTGCAACTCCTTTACTCTGTACCACCAAGTGAAACACTCTTCCCACCCCTCTGCAAAACCCCATATTTCCCTCCCTGACCCCCTTTCGGCTAGATTAATAAATGAAATCAAGAATATATGTGTGTGTGTGTATTTGTATGAGTGTGTAGGGTTCTATTTTGAAACATTGGTTGTATGTGATTGATTTTTATAGCAACAGCTTCTGGTAAAAATCATATGACAATGATTCACTATTTTTTCCAATGATTCACTATTTTTTCCAAAGACCCAAAATGTATTCAATTTAGTAGATGTATGATTTTTGTCTTGTTTGTTAAAGTTTAAGTTTGAATTTCATGGTTGATTTGATTCGTTTGGTTGCTGGTATTAATGGGGAATGAATAGAAATTGTAATTTGGGTAAAAAATGAATAGAATAAGATCTGTTTCGTTGTTGTTTAAACCTTATTTTTGTTCTGTTGTGGTCCTTTGTTTGGTGCCCTGTTGCTGGTGTGTTCTGGGTTTTTAGTTGGTTTCAACTTATATCAACAATCTATTGTCCTGGTGGAATGCGGTTAGATTCTGAGAGGTTGGTAAACAGGTTTGGGAGGTTGCTCCTGCTGTAGTAATTTAGAGTGTTTGGAAAGTTAGGAATGCATTCAAGTTTGAGGGGAAGAGTATTCATTGGGTGAAGTACAACAGTAAAGGTTTGCCTTTTTCTGTTGATGATGTTGTCTTTAGGTTGGATTGTATAAAGGGCTGCTGAGGTGTATTTGGTTTAGCTGTGTTCTGGTGGTCGTGGCCTCTTTGCTTTTGTCTTTGTTTTCATTTTTGTGGCTGCTAAATCATCTTTATAAACTACATCTTCTTGTTCATGTCTTAACATTTGATCTTTAATTTGCTATATATATTCATATGGAATTGAGATGAATGTGAATCATTTATGATATTGATGTTAATGACAATAATTCTAGAATGCATGATTCACAGACATGCTCTTGTTTTAAAGTGAGATTCTTCTTTTTCTTTCATGATAAATGACAGATTTTAAAGTTCATAATTGATATTTGAATATACTTCCACATAATCCAAGATTGAAAGTCATAATAACTAATAAGATAAAATTGAGTCTTCAGAGGTTAAGCATGGAAAGGGTGAACGACTAAAGCACAGAATTATACTTAACCAATTAAACTACCCAGCCAAACTCTTAAGTTGTGTGAGAAAATTGGAACATTGTGATTAGCTTGGGCGAAATGAAATTGATTAAGGCTCAACATAAAATAATAGAGGTGAATTAAGGGAAGAAATTGAATAAATTAATAAAAATGTAGTTTATAATTGGATTGGTTTTTGTGGCCTTTTTGCTTTTGGGTATTCTGTACTGAATATGCTCTTAATATTTTCTTGGATTGGTTTGTGTCTGTAGTCTATAATTATAGGTGTATTTGATGTAAAGTCCCTAAATTAATATGAATCATTTGAACTTGTTCTTCCAATCTGATCCTGTGTTCTATCCTTTGGGGTATTCCTAGTCCCTCCCAAATGCTATGATTATCCAACTTTTGCTTTTTGAGTGGTTCTCCCCACTGAGTTACCCTCTTTTCCTCTGTGCTTGGATTCTGGAATCTAGGTCCCTGTTATAAGAAAAACCCATAAAAACTAAATCAAATACAAAGTTTCTAGACAGTTTCCTTTCATTTCGTCTTAGCTCATCAAAATATGTGTGCATCTTCACATGATAAATGATATGTTATTTCTTTGTACCTGATATTGTTAAAGCAGGGAAAGCACACTATGTGCAAAATTGAAAAGATCATGGATTCATGGGTGTGCTAGAGAGGCAGCTTTTTGAGTTTATTTATAGATTCTAATTTATCTATGCTAAATCAAATACAAAGTATTCATTTCGATGGAGGTATTGTGATTGCTATTGAATCTGATATGTTTTATATAACAAAGTCACAATTTTCCTAATATTTAATATATATGTTTTGCTTTGTTCTAAAAAAAAAAAAAAATTGTAAAAAAAAATATTTGTTTAACACATATATTTTTAAAACATGTTAAAGAAATATTATTGCAAATTTACATTAGCAAAATATCAACAATTAGTATTTTTTGTTTTAAAAATTGGTTAAGTTAGTTTGAATGATTAGCAAAAATAAAGAGTGTGGTTGGAGAACGCAATAGCTAAAGCAATTAGGTAAAATAAAGAGTGTACTATTTTTGTACTTTAGCTAGCGAAAAATAAAGAGCATGGTTGGAGTTGCTCTTACACCAAATAAATAGGCTCGTTTCAACCCCTCCTAACAAAAAAGGTAGATAGAGAACTAGAGCTCAAGAGCTTGGAACAATGGGAATGGAAAAGTGTCAAACATTTTGGCCCCATCAGAAATCAAAGTAGACCAAAGGGGAGTTCGAAGTTAATGAATTAGTACCCTGCTTGATACTTCACTCAGGTGAGCTGCTAGCACCTTGGGCAGTGCGAGGCTTATTGCACTGCGGCTTCCTTCTTTAAGAACAATTTTCTTTTAACAATTACACATCAAATAAAATGTTGCTTTCTGTTTCCAAAAAGCCATGTGCCATACGAGCCCTTAATAGTTTCCTTTGATACAACTTAAGCTTAGAGCTTGATCACCTAGACAATTCAAGTACATCTTTGGTGCTTCTATGTCTTTAACTCTAATGCTTTTATGTTGAGGATTGATGTTGGTTTAGGAAGTAAATTTTCAACTTTGAAACCAAGCTGAAACTTTGAGCCCTTAGTGGTCTCCACATTAAACTCACATTGAAATTCAAAGTGAGCTTAATGTGCTGAAGAATCACATGTTCTTTTTCTTCTACTAAAATAATAAAGCAATTGGTGGATATCTCTTTTTGTTCTACTATATTTTCCTGTACAAACTTAATGGTTTGTTTGCAGATTCCTACTCATTTCCCTCTAGAAACATTGCAACAAAAGAGGTAACTTCATTAGAGGTAGCTTCATTTGAGGTATGAAAAAAAAAAGTTTTGCTTTTTGTGGATTTTATTTGCATATGCGTTGAGACTATCGAGATCTTGAATTTTTGCTAATTTTTCATTATGACATTACTTTTATGGGACCATTGCATTATCTTATAAATTTTGGAAATATTTTGTTGATGTTTTAAAATTTCTCGATCATTTCTTCATGCCTCAAGAAATATTTTTGTTCATAAGGAGTTGGTTTTTGTAATTATGTAAAGTTTCCTTTGTCATGCAGACAAGAAATGCAACATGGTTAGTTGCTCTAGCTATTATCGTGGGTTTAGGTGCCTTAACACATACATTAGGCACCCTCGTCCCTGTGATAGAAGCAAGTGGATTTGCTACAGCTGCAGCTGCAACTACTATAAGAACTGTTGTCGGTAGTTTTAGATAATTTCTTAATAGTTGTCGATATGTTTAGAAAGTTAGATATCCATAATTTTGGATGGTTTAAACTTTTTGTACAGTTTATAACTTAAAGATGTAGTTTTCGAATGTTTGGAATGTATAGACAATTGTTGAATGTATATAATTTGTGGATATGTTTCTTTTTGATGTTTCAAACAATATTTTGATGGTTGATTAATGTTCTGTGATGCTTATTTATAATATTTGTTAGATTGTACAAAATTGATCAAATAGAACATGCTGAATTTAAAAATTAAAAAAAAAACAGCATATTCTACGGCATGCATAATAAATCGTTGTATTGCATATTTTACGGCACGCAATCAGTATCATTATTTTCTCACCAATTAACGGCATGCAAAAGTAGTCATAGAAAAAGTAACAATGACGCACAAAATCTGTCATTAAACGGTTTTTAACGGCGTACTATAGGATGTCGTAGAAAAGTAACAACGACACACGAAATCTGCCGTTAAATAGTTTTTAACGGCGTAAGAAGCATATCGTTGAAAGTGAATGACTTTCCATAGCTGGTCATAATATGACACGCAGTGCACGTCGTAGAAGGGTTTTTACAGCGTGCAATGCACGCCGTAAAAATCCTTTTTTGTTGTAGTGTATGGGTTAAATACTTGCCTCCTAGAGTCCAATTTCTTGGATGGCTAGCATCGAAGAGTAGATTAAAGACAATAGTTTTTCGCCAAAGAATTGGTGTGCTCCGAAGCAATGCATCAACTCTATATGTGTTCTGGAAAGCTGAGATTGAAACTGTGAACCATGTCATGGTGTCCTGTCTTTTTGCGTCAACTGTGTGGACTGAAATGCTAAATTGGTGGGATGTGCAAGGGGCCTTACCTGGAACTATTGAAGGGTTACTTCTATGGTGGGATAAGGAGATGCTCAGCAGTAAGGAGAGAAAGATTTGGAGGGGCATACCTCTAGTTGTGTTGTGGTCGCTATGGAAGCTTCGGAATGATGTTGTGTTCAATGCATCAGTCCCTAATGTGGCCGAGTTATGTGAAGTGATAAAAGTTAGAATTGCATTGTGGTGGAGACCATTTTACTCAGAGCATAGTTTTACAATTCAGGATTTTGTGCATAATCTTAGGGCAAGTGAGAAGGTGTATTGCAGGAAAAAAGGTGTAAGGTGTTTGAACTGTATTCTTTGTCTTTGTTGCTGTGTTTTGTCTAGCTTCTATTAATCTAGTTGGATCCTCTCCAGCTGGGTCTTTATTGATGTTATCTGTTGTAATTGTGATGTGTTTTGATCTTCAATAAAGTTTTTTCGCTGTTTCAAAAAAAAAAAAAAAAGGATAGCCAACAATAAATATAAGAGCAATAAAAGAGAAGGAGATATTTGGTGGTTGTAAACCGATACTCCACACCATTCAACTTGTGACACTTGCTTCATTATCTCTAAAAAGCAACATAAAAATAGTGAGTCATTCTGTTTAAATCAATAAAAATTCAATTAATTAAAACATTTCATGATCTTATCCAATAGCATTAAATAAGATCCAATTCCGAATCTACTCATTAGTTAAAAAAGTTTATATTAATTTTTGAATTATGTTAGGGATTTCAAATATTCTACCAAATCTCTTACATAGGTGTGAGATTCACACACATGTGGATTTGTGTGAATCTCATTCCGTTTGAGAGGTTTGATAAAATATTTGTTAGAATACCCCTGGTTTTGAAAAACTTGATTAATTGAGAGAATGAGAGGTTTGCTAAATCCTATGCTAATGAAATCATTGCCATTAATGTGGGTACTGAGAAGGATCCACGCATGGTCCAGATCGAGGTCCACATTGTCTTCGGAGGAGCATGAGTGTTTAATCGCTTTGTGAAAAGATTTCAAAGATGATTTCGCGTGGTCCTGCGAAGAAATGCCAGGAATCGATCCTGAGATTGTTTAGCACCGGATCCCTCTTGATCCCGAAACCCGACCGGTCAAGCAGAAGCTACAAAGAATCCATCCAGATTGGGCTTTAAAAATCAAGGAAGAAGTCACCAAGCAAATTGACGCGGGTTTCTTGTTAGTATCTGAGTATCTGACTTGGTTGGCCAACATCATCCCAGTGCCGAAGAAGGATGGTAGAATCCAGGTGTGTGTAGACTTTCAGGACTTGAACAGAGCTAGCCCAAAAGATGACTTTCCTCTGTTGTATATTGATGAATAAGTGGATTTCACTACGGGCTATGCATTGCTATCGTTTGTGGACGGGTTTTCCGGGTACAACCATATTCTGATGGCATCTGAGGATAGAGAGAAAATTGCATTCACTATGTCGTAGGGTACCTACGGCTACCAGGTTATGCCATTTGGTTTGAAAAATGCTGGAGCTACCTATCAGAGGGCTGCAAACACCATTTTGCATGACATGATCCACAAAGAGGTCGAGGTGTACGTGAACGACAAGATTGTCAAGTCCAAAGAACGAGAGGGCCACTACACCGCCTTGGACAAAATCTTTCAATGGATCAGAGAATACAGATTGAGGTTAAACTTGCAGAAATGCACCTTCTTGGCAAGCAAAGTCAGTGCAATTGGGAGAGGCACTTGCCCTTCGCCTGAAGTTGAGGCGGGCACTTCGCCTAAACAAATCATCAGTTTTCTGTCAAAAGTTAGCGAGCAAAATCAACTCGACAGCTTCTTGGCAAGCAAAGTCAGTGCAATTGCTTGGCAAACAAAATCAGCTTAGCTCAGTGACTTACTGACATCTTTCAAAACCGATCTCCATAGATCTCTTCAATCGATCACTCCTTAAGGACGGACATCTTCAATTGCCAGGCCATTTGGAAAGGTCTGCTCTTGAGGAGCCGCCTTGACCTCTTCATCAACGTAGCGATCCAAATGCCCTGCAACCACCAACTCTTCCAAGTGTAGTTTGAACAGCATGCAATCTTCTGTTTGGTGCCCTCTCTCATCATAAAAGGTACAACAGTATCTCAGATTGAACCCTCTCTAGGCATCCCCTAACTTGGTCTATCACCAGACGTATTCTTTGTCACGGATTTCATTCAATATGTGATAGATCGGTATCTTAAAGACCGTAGCCATACCAATCCAGGCTTTTAACTTTCTCTTGGTATCATCCTCCGCATCACGCAGGTTATTAGCCCAGTCATTGTTACGACCCTTATCCCGGTTGTTGCAATTAACACTGTGGTTCTGCTCCCTTCCACAGTTGCTTACACAATCGTCCTCTTGTTCAGCTGCATTGACTTTTCCTGCGACTCTTTTGTCCGCCACTACCAGATTTGTCTTCACAATAGCTACAACCACATTATCTTCAACTCTGATGTGTCATTAATCTTTTGCATCAACAGCTCCATTGTTGTGGGGTTGATTCATTGTGAGCAAATCCCTCAGTCTATGTCCAATTGGAAGACCGTGCTTGTATTAGGCAATTGCCTTGTTGATAAGACAATCGAGGATCTCGTTGAACATCTTCCAATACTTGACATTGTATGCCTTTAATGAATTGTCCGATTCCATTCTCACTCCCAAAAGATGGTCAACTTCCTTAGGCATTTTTGTGTTTGTCTTGAATCTCGTGACGAACGCCTCGGCTAACTATTGCCATCTCTCGACGCTTTCCTCCAACAACCTTTCAAACCATTTCAGGCCCATCGATAATGACTAACGTACTTGTACGAGTCTGTCTTCCATCGTAGAGCGTAAATTTTGGCTAGTGGAAACCGGCGTGAAGCAGCGTATTCTCAATCTTAGAGGAGAAAAAGGTAGTGCTCAGTCTTGCCAAGTCTCTGTCTACCTATGTATTCACCACCAAGCGTGGCAATGGTGGTGGCATGGCAATCTTTTCCTTCCGTGAACACCAGGGCCAACTTTTGCATCATTGGCACCTTCGGGGCCTCCCTTCGACGTATTCGCTCCCTTAACACGTCTCTTAGGTCCTCCGAACAAGCGGAGTATGAGTATCCCAATATCGGTATCGGACGTGAGGGGCGATAGCTATTGTCCTGAGTATATGACCTCGTCGTCGGCAGTACGGAATAGTCACCTCTGTAACTCCTAGTGATGGAAAGCAAGGGTATCTCTCGCCGACTCTAACTGCCTGAGCGACGGGATTGAGTGCGCTCACTGTGGTTTTCCACTCTAACTACGCATTTCCCTTTTAACTGTTGCTTCACAGCCTCCTTCTTCATCGCCATCCTTCAAATGATGGTGTCCTAGTCTCTCAGCTTGTTCTCCCAAATGTTGAGTAAGATCATACCCTCTCCATCATCAATGCCCTTTACGGCTCTGTGAGTGTCCAAAACTCCTCGCACGTTTGTCTTGCACGTCTTTATGAGTCCCTCACGTGGAGGTCTCAAGACCAACCATGGTTGAAATAGCGGGCAAGTCATTGCGCCTCCAAACATACTTTGGCGTGATGCCATCTATGGCGGACAATGGAATGTCGTCATTGTTGTTCACCATTGAAGATGATCAGTAAATCTTGGAGGACAAGGTTTTGAATGCCAAGATTCCCACAAACGACGCCAATTGTACGGAGGAGAAATATTTGTCGTCCTCGGTACGCCTTGCTACCATGCTTGCCTTACTACGAATGGACTCTAATTCACTGCGAACTGAACAAAAGTGAGCTACCTGATGGATGGTTTTCCAAAAAACTCCTCCGATGGTCAGGTTAGTTTACTTAGAGAGAGAATGGCTAAAGTTTGCTTACTCTTCTCTAGTTGTCGACGTGTACTTTATCTAGGCTGGCCTTATAGCCCAAGATTGTGCATGCATTATTTCTGTTGTCCTTTGCTGGATACGTGGCTAAACTACCCTCTCTCTTCTTTAAACATGTATTCGTCAATACTACCAAATAATATTGGCCAAACTACCAAACGATATTGATGCGTACTTAAGGTGGATTCCTCGCTATAATCTATTGGGCCACGTGGAACGCTCTGCTCGAGCAATCACTTCGATTTTCCTCAAATGTGCTAGCTATAAAAGTCTTCTTGCTGAGCTAACCTCTAATTGACTTCCCAGCTCGACCAAAACCATCATCGCATTGAAGATCAACCTGCTTAAAGATCTTCAACTCGGTCATATGTGTGGAGCTTATCCTTGACTCAACCGAGACACAGTTCATGGTATGGCTTGGTCTGTGCATAACCCTATCCAAGCTTGCTGCCCAAACCCGACCTAGCTGGGCTCACTGTGAAGACAAGTGTAGCTACATTTCGGTCTTACACTAGCCCGGCTCTTGCTTACGGCCTAGGCCCTTCCTAGCCCGGTGTAACATCATGGCCCGTATGGGTTTAGCTTGGCCCATCATCATGGACCATATAGGTTTTAGCTCGGCCCATCATCGTGGATCGTGTAAGTTTAGCTCGAACCATATGTTCAGTACAAATTTTCCTCACAGCTGCAAAGAAGTGGCTAGGGAGAGTGAAGGCCAAAGGTGGATGGTTTAAAGAATATGAAGATGAAAATGAATGGCATATTTGGTTAATATGAAGATGAATGGCATATTTGTCATTTTAATGTTGTTTTTGTCTTTAATTTTTATTTATTTTTCATTGTCAACCCTCTATTTTGATGCATGTGGAACAATTTCACTTATTTTAAAACTTCACATCTATTATATAATTGTTAAATATTTTTCAAATTCAATACTTCTTTTTCATTCATCAAATCGTTGAAAAATTTAGATATAAGATTGTACATGTATCATATTATATATATAGTCATACTTATTTATATTAATCTATAAAGTTATAATTATACTTGTTTGATGTGAATCAAAAGGTGAAGCTCTGTCATATTTTTTCTAGTTGCAGAATTGTCTTAAAAATTGTTTTATTTATTTATTTTTCAACATGTCTCTTTTTTTTCTTTTTTCTCTTTTTTTTTTAAGTTTTTAATTCTCGAATCCTTATTAACTAAGTTAGTTTTGATAGTGAATATAACTAAAATTTTATTTTGTGTTGCTTGTACACACCTTTTTGTACCACATGCTTGTACTCATTCACCAATTATTATTCATCATACTTTCTCATATTTCTCAATCACTCAACATAAAATCATAATACCACACATTCTCTATCAATCATAACACTATAAAACACTACGTAACCGTACTCCCGAACTACCCAATCATCACCCAAAGGATACACCTAAATTTTGTGGCAGTTATGGCTTCGTTTGGGAAGTGGGTTGGCTTTTTGACTTTTTTAGCTTGGGGTTAAAAAGCCTGATTTGGGAAGGGTTTTTGGTTTTTTTTGGCTTTTTTGGCTTTATTGTGAGAGAAAGAATGTAATGATTA